CTCGAGGTCTTCAATGTATGAAAAAGCCATTATTGTTTTAATTAATGGAAATTTGTAAAATAGGTACACTTCGGTACATCCAGAACACCTCCCTATATAATGGAAATCGTTTGGGGGTCTTTCGGTGAACATCATACAATCTCTTCTGAATCGGCTGAGATTCTAAGGATGGTTGGCAGGCAGTGGAGCTCCTAGGTTAGTATGCATACTCCCTAGTGGCTCAGAGAGATTGTGTGATGGAGGGACCCCCGGGGCCAACCTAGGGTAGGGCTCCCGGGAATTTTCTAAGCTCTGAACGGTCCGTGTTGCAAAAAAACCTAGATCCGAACTATTTTCGCCAGCTTTTCGTCCGTTTTTAGTCCGTTTTTGTCAGGTTCGTCCGTGAGGTTCGTGAGGTTCGTCTGTCTGTTTCGTCCGTGAGGTTTTCGTGAGGACCTGACGGACGAACTTGACGAGCGAAACTGACGAACGAACCTGACGAACGAACCTGACGAACCTGATGTAAACGGAAAAACATAAAACGGACAAAAAACGGACGAAAAGCTGACGAAAATTGAACATTTTACCAAATCTATACTTAGGATCTAGTTTTTTGCAACACAGGCCGTTTAGAGCTCAGAAAATTCCCGGGAGCCCTACCCTAGGTTGGCGTCGGGGGTTTCTCTATCGCATGCATACTAACCTAGGAAAAAAGTATGCATACTAACCTAGGAGCTCCCTTGCCTGCCAATCATCCTTAAGATCTCAGCAGACTCAGAAGATATTGTGTGATGTTCACCGAAAGACCCCGCAAACGATTTCCATCATATAGGGAGGTGTTCTGGATGTACCGGCATCTCCCGTCCACTATACTTTGGGTACAATGTGGGCAGGGCTTAGGTCGACGATCTTGTTAGAGATATTCCATTATTTCCGAGCGTTTTTCACCGAATTTGTTTTTGATTTTTTCGTTGACTGACTAGGGAGTGGTGTGAATCGGGTATGGAGATTCGGGACGAGACCTATGCCATTCGAAAGCTGAGAACACGTCCGTTCTGAATCTGTTTTCCGTTTTTGCTAAATGGCCACCAACTCGGAGAATTTTTTTGTCCAAAAAAGTTCAAATTTTTTATAGAATGTATTTTTATGAGTTCTTGTTAGTTTTTCATGGGTTTCCGCCCAATTTTCGACACAAAATATGCCGAAAAACAGTGGTCGAACTCAGGTAGTTCGGAAAACCTTTCTGAGCCATAACCACGTCCCGATTAAACTGAAAAAGGTGCCCGATTAGCCACGGCTGAAAAAGTTTATAAAGGGCTTAGAAAAGTCTTTTTGATACTTAAAAAGGTTTATTCGTTGCTTAAAAAAGTTGTTTTACTGCTAAAAAGGTTTTATCGTTTCTACTAAAGGCTTAAACTATTGATTTTTTTGAAGACGGATTTTCAGAAAATACATTCATTAGAGAAAAAGAAATTAACAAAAAAACAAGAAAATTTAAACTGAAGTGAAATCTCGATCTCGAAACATCTTTGAACCTCAGATCGTAGCGCATCCCCGTTGTTATCAGCCCAATATCATATCCTCCTGGAAATATTTAAAATTTTGAGAAATAGATATTAAGAGCTACAACTCAATGTTATGGAAGGCGTTCTCTCCTGATTCATATAATTTTTTAAAAAACAGAATAAATCTTTCGAAAAGCCAGAAAAGTTTTAATAAGGCTCAAAAAGGTTTGAAAAGTTTAAATATGACTGAAAAAGGTTTAACTGTGGCTTTAAAAAGTTTCAGTTTTGAGCGCAGCTGGATAAAGTTTACAAGTTGCTTAGAAAAGTTTGAAAAATTTGATTGTGGCTTCAAAAAGTTTAATCGTGGATTTTTTGCTTGAAAAGGTTTCATAATCGCTCAAATGTAGCTCAGAAAGGTTTTCCGATTTACCTGAGAAGTGGACCAAAAGTTAATGATGACTGTATGTTATGAATGATTTTGCACTGTTCTAGGTCAAAAATTGGCAGGAAAACCATGAAAAACTAACTAGAACTCATAGAAATACATTCTATACAAAATTTGAACTTTTTTGGACAAAAACTTTTTCATCGAAAATTTCGCATAGATTGACCACCAAAAACCTTGATAATTTCGAAAAAATCAACTTTTAAAAAAATTAATGATTTCTCCTTCTCAAAGTTTGAAATTCGGTAAAAACTGAAAAATTTGTGCCAAAAACCATTTTGGAGCCCAAAACGGGTGCCGAAAAATTTGACAAAAAAAATGGAAAAAAATAATTTCGAGCTGAAGGAATTGAACCCCAGACCTTTCTCATACTAATCCGAACATCAACCACTGAACCATCCAATCGACATTTTGTATTGGTTTCGATTTGGTTTATATATTTAGTCTTCACGTGATTCAAAATCCCTATTGAAATTGAAAAATTCAGTCGAAAGGTCGCGCGAAAAAGATCAGCTTTTTCGGACTCTAACTTTAGACCTAATTTTCTCCGAGCTGGTGGCCATTAAGCAAAAACGGAAACCAGATTCAGAAAGGACGTATTCTCAGCTTTCGAATGGCATAGGTCTCGTCCCGAATGTCCATACCCGATTTACACCACTCCTTAGTGAATATGAAATCTGAAAAAAATTAACAACTTCGATAAATTGGGAGAAAATCGTTTAAAATTGTAAAGTTTCCTTTTTTCAAGTTGTAACTTCCAAGCATTTTTCCCCTTCAGACTATGTACCAGCTGCATAATTGTTTTTAAAAATAAGCAAAAAAATTCCAGAAAATGCGCAAAATTCTGGCGTTTGAAGCTCTGAAAATAGGTAACTTCTAGCACATGAGCTCATGTGCATGAGGCAATTCTAGAAATTGATCTTCTATTTTACAAATTTCTATTAATTAAAACGATAATGTATTTTCATACATTCAAGACCAGAAAATGTGTAAAGCATGAATTTAGTAGATTTCCAACAAATTCCGCATTTTTTTCCTGATTCAGAGTAGAAAATAATACACAAAGTCTTACGGTTATTTGGGTTCAGTGGTAAAAATTTTCATTTTGATGTATCCCTGGAGAAATTGTTCTATGAGACAACAACCTTGGTTTATCCCTCAGATCTGAGCTCAGACTATCCCCTGAACATGAGAAGCTTTTAATGTGCATTCTTTTGATGTGATTTTTATGATCTTACAATCATTTCCAACTTTTCAAGTCGTCCAGATTTTTTTTAAAATTTATTTTTTCTGAAAACTTTATGCTACCAGAAATTTTGAACATGTAAAAGGAGTTGTTCTTCTTTTTCAGTACTTTTTCACTGTTTTTTTTGGAATACCGTAAAAACTCTGATATGATGCAAAAGTTTCTTCCAATTTTGACAAAATTTTTGATCAAATTTTTCTCAAAGCAGATGAGGTTAGATTCATGAAAGTAATGTTCATGAGCATCGATAGTTGTCTGGCAACGCTCCGGTAATTCCTGGATTCCATCGGCCTAGAACGACGAGGGCTGCGATTGAAAAAGTGGGCTAACTCCTTTTTTGTGACATCTTTTCAATTGAAGTCTTTTTTATCAAGATGACGAGTAAGTGCTCCAAACGAACCATTTATCCGCAGGGCAATGTCCGAAAAATACGGAGGGTGCAAAAGAATAGTTCAGCCAAACGACACGAATTTCTGGCTGATACCTCTAGTCACGGTGGTTTCGCATTGTCGCGCTGGAAGAACCCTTGACCTTTTCTCCTTGTTTCGATTCGACTGCCAGATTCAATTTTTTTGATTATGAACTATACATTGTGGCAATTATATTGGTACATTCATCTAAAAGTTCCCAGTCTTCACTCCTTTGACAGACCACCAAAGACATAGCAACCCCATTTTTTGAGGAAAATTAGATTCCAGGACGGCCAGAGCAAGCTCTTCTTTGTCAATCAACTGACCCTCCCGATAGGAGAAACATGCACATGTCTACACGGCGATCCAAATCATAGTCGTTTACAACGTTGGGTACGACTCGACTTAGTTCTTGAAGTTGCCATGAGACTTTCATCCGGTCACAATACTTGGTTGACTAACGGACAATGCCTTTGACATTTAACAAGTGGTTTGAAACGGATCGGCTTCTACAGTTGTCTTTAATTGGTCCAAGTCCAACTTCGGGACCGAGTTTCGTATTTGACTTCAAAATGTTTGGCTTCAAATCGATCGGTCCAATGTTTGATGGTATTAACAACAAGAGATATTCTTTCAACAATTTCTTTCATTTTCTGATGAATATCAGAGTTTTTCAAAACAGGAAGTGTAGACGGTTTAGGTCGAAAAAAAGCGGCATGCTCGTGAACGACAAGAAGTAGGAGAGAGGCAAAATGTATATAACAAGTCCATGAGATACTCTATCGAACAAAAAAACATCCTCCAAGAAAAACCGTCCCACTGACAAGATATGAATTCTCAAAGTTGACCATTCAAAATCGGAAGAAACTTTTGCATCAACCTATTATAAATATAGCCCCTCCTAATTGAACGCCACCCTCTAATAGAACGTTTTCTGAACTGTGCTCTGAAAAATAGAACGACCTGGTCTTAAATTAGAGTTTTTATTGTATTGAGTTTTTTGTTAAAAATTATATTCTTACACCAGCAAGCTGGTGCGCCTTCGGCGCGATTCAATCTATTTTTTTCAAATGTTCGTCGCTTCGTTTCTCACTTTTTCTAAATAAAAGGGTGACGTAAATATATATGCCTTTTTCAATTTTTTCAAAAGTCCACAGACGGACACGAGGACGGACAGACGCCTCTAGCGTTTTATTAATAAGGAAGATTAGGCTGAAATTCTTATTAGGTAAGAACACCTACGAAAATTGCAGAAAATTCGAAAATTTAAAATATGTAGTGAAAGAGATTTTGTAGTCAAAGAGATAAATGTGGTCAATGAGAACGTGGAGTCAAAGAGTAGTGTAGTCAAAGAGTAATTGCCTGAAAAGTTTAGGACATGAAATACAAATGCATACAAATAAAAACTTTGTGTCATATTGGATGGTCAGAGAAAAGTAAGGGAACAATAAGTATATCGCTGGAAAGAAGCAGGGACAGAGCAATCGATTGGCCGATAGGGGAGAAAAATAGAAAGGGATAAAGGAATCATACATTTGCATATTTTTATATAACTGAAAAATTTCATATGCTTCGAAACATCACAAGTTGTGATGTTTCAAAGAATTTGAAAAATTCACAACTAATTCATCAATTTCAAAAATTCTTCTTCTGTTTTATTCCATACTCCAAAACTGATTGTCTTCCCCTCAATCAGAATAGATACCACATAACTATCCGATTGTCTGACGACATATGCGTGGCTGATGATTGGATCCGTGTTTGGTTCAGTAGGTGAATAATGACAGTCGTATCTGACAACGAATTGTTTACTTCAAAGTTATCGCAGAAGTAAATACCGTAAAACCTGTAATAGAAGGCCCCCCATACTGTCAGGTTTGAGCTTAATTATCTCGGCTCTAGTCAAAGATATCAAAAAGTGATCAACTGATAAAATGTTTATCATAATATCGCAAACATTTTATCAATAGACACATTTTTGATATCTCTTGTAGGGATGGATGTTCCTTCTTACCAGCCTGTTTGCCGCGCCTCCGGCGCTTCAAACGCCCGGTTGGTGCGCCTTCGTCGCGTGTTCGTAGCTTCGCTCCTAACTTTTTGAAAACTAATTAAAATCTCTGATTTTTTCTTTTGTTCTTTAGACTTGAACTAAAGGTTTTATGGCAGATCAAATTTGGCCTGGCAGATTTTCCCTTTGCCCAACTCCCCTTCTGGGAAAATACGGAATGACATACAAAGAAGAAAAGAGACACCACACCATTTATTTATTATAAGAATGATGATACAGTGTGATGCAGGTTCATACACCCACGTGTATCATATCTTGAGAACTGATGGGATATTCAGGTGAGGCACTTGAGTCCAACACAACCGGTCAAAAAACGCGCCCCAAATAACTTTTAGGCCAGAAGGAATTTAATAATTTCTAAGTTGACGTGGATTCGACCTAATTAGTTTTAATCAACGAGTTGCAACGCGTGATTTTTGTCACCTTTGGTGAGAAAGAATAAGCGATTTAGTCTAAAGAAAATGTAGTTTAGCTCCTTCATTTCTAATGTTAATCAGAATTCATAAATTGTTCCCTTTTTCATGTATTGTTAATGATATTCCTTTAGCTCTCCTAATGATACGGTGCTGTGTGGTGACTGTTTCCGCGTGGCACCGGAATTGCTATAAATAGGGGCCCGGCTTTTACTCATTTAGCTCTCTCTCTCTCAATATCTCTCTCTCTCTTATATCTCTCTTTTTATCCCTCTCTTATCACTGTGTCTTAATAAATCTATCTAAAGAAAAGTCTTTTTCTTTATATGGTGACCCAGGCAGGGCGAGATGGTGACCCAGTGGTAAACTTGTAATCTTCTGTTATTTATTATTTCTATGCTATTCTGGTGTCTTTGGAGGAAATTGCCAGCGCAGACAAGGAAGAATTGCTGCACTACATTGGAGTATTTATCTTCCTAACGGAAAAGTTGGTTAAGGAAACCAATCGGATCAAATCGTTGGACGACGACTGGGCAGCCTTGGCTCAAAAGGACAACACAGAGTTGAAAACGAAGAAAGACTACTGTGAGAAGTACGGAGACTTCAATAACGTCCGGAAGCAAGGTTTGCAACTCTTGGAACAATTGCACAAACTGTATGATGCAACAAGGAAACGGATCTCGAAACTGGGCCCGAAACAGCTCGACGACGTCGAAACATGGGATGAAATCGTTTCATCATTGACCAAAGATTCAAAGGAACCAACAACTACTCGTATAGCCTCTATCACCGTCACCATCCAACCTGACAATTCTAATCCTGTACCAGCTACTATTCCAACATCAACCATTCATCCTCCCCATACTACTCATTCGTCTTCTCCCCCTATTCCCAATATTCATTCGTCTTCCCCCACTATTCCTACTGCTCCTATCTATTCTCAAGAACAATTCATGCCGACCATGTCATTGCCATCAACTCGAATTGCTCTACTAACCATGCAACTTCCCACCTTCCATGGAGACATCACCGGATTCTCAGAGTTCACTGAGACTTTTGACTCGATCATGGATTACATGCAAGTTGATTCTTTATCAAGATTCTATTATTTGAAATCCTCACTGAAAGGAAAAGCTCTTGACCTCATCAAAGGACTTCCAAGCATTCATCAGAACTATGAAATTGCTCGCCAACTTTTGTCCACTTTCTACGGTGGAACTCTTCGTCTCAAGCACACTCTGCTTCAACAATTGAGAGAACTACCTGCCATCCATCACTCAAAGTCGCCCAAGGACCTCCATCATATTCTAGTCAGTTCTTCCAACCTGCAGCCATGCAGGAAGGTTGCTCCTTCCCTCGCTTCCCCTTCTTCTCACCATATTCCCATTGTATCCTTCTGGGGTCTCAGTTGCCCAGCTAGTGTTCAACAAACACGTTGTGAACCAATCCACTGTTAACTACCATCTCAACGGAAGAAGCCAAGGGTTGCATAGCAGTCACGGTTCGCTAGGAGTGTGGGCTCATCACCCCTCAATCCCTAGCCGCGACAGAAGTACATTATTTTGTCAATAAAAAAGAATAAAAGAATTAAAATTCGAATAGTTTATACTTTTTAAAAACATTTTATTCGAGTTAAGCTTTCCCTTCAGGTTGCTTTGCTTCATTCTTCGCTTCAGGCTTGGGCTCTGCCTTTTCTTGTTTGGGCGGCGTCTTTGGTTCCAACTTCTTTGGTTCTTTTGGCTCGACTTTCTATAAAAAAACTAAAACTATTACAATGGGAAGAAAAAACGCACCTTGAGTTTATCCCGATTTTCTTCGTTGTCCATTCGAATGATCACAGACTTGTGCCCGTCTTCCAAAATACATGCTCGTCGTTCACCCTTTCCGTCCTTATTTTTCGTCATGGCACTAGGAACAACTGGAACTGGAGCTGCCGCAGCTGCACTTTCCAATGATGGCGATTTACGAAGATGATGGTGAGCTTCGAGTTTTCTCATAATGCTTCTGACATCCGGTGGAGCCATTACAGATTGGTTGTGCTCTTCATTCATTTCATCCTAAAATAATTATTGGAAACTGATGATTTGTTTCTTTCTTGTTTCTGACCGTTGCATCTTTGAGTGCTTTCTCAGTGATTCCTCTCTCAATCAATAAAGATGTTATTTTCTTCTCTTTCAGTGCTTTCACCAAAAGAACTTTGCACTTTTGATTATCAGCAATCGGTTCACCATCTACGTCGATGATACGATCAGCCACATTGAACAGGCCGGTTACTAATGAATCTGAACATTTCAAGAAATTCAATCGTTTCTGGAGAAGGATGTTCTTCACTCACTTTCATCAGCTTTGATCACAAACACATTTTTGTAGACATTCTTGATTCCCAATCCGAATTTCAGTCCTGGTTTGTAGTTGATTACAACGATCGAATACTCGTATCCATTCTTTCGTTCACCAATATTTTTCTCTCTTTCTGCCGGAATCGACATTTATCCATTCCTGACTTTTCTTGCGGGGGCTGAAAACTTTTAAGACCTAAATTTTGGAATATAATATTTTTGGATCATACAGCAACTGGAGGTGGCATTTCCACTTTAGCTTCTTCAGCAGCATTGTTTGTAGAAGCAATCTTTTCCATTGTTTAGAACAGTGAATTCGAAACTGATGAGGCTGGATCCAGTCGATGGGAAATTTGAGGAAAATTAAATATAACTTCACGGTTTTAAAGTATATTTTATTTTTACGCAGGCCAGTCATCAAAAGTGAGGTGACGAGAAAGATTATGAATCTAATCATCTGTAACAGATGGGTCCCCTAACTTTTAGCTTTGAGTTAATTTATCTCGGTTCCTGTCAAAGATAGGAAAAAGTAAAGATAGGAAAAAGTAGTAACTGATAAATTAATTACCATAATGTCAAAATGTTTTTATCAGTTGACACATTTCTTATTTCTCTAATAGACATCGACATAATCGAGTTCAAAGTTGACAGTGTGTGGGGCCCTTCTATTCCAGGTTTTACGGTGTGCAAAAAAACTAAAATTTATAATAATGATATACTAATAACTAACAAAAAAACCAAATTATTGGGGTTTCAAACTATCCAACAAATGCAAAAATTAAACATACTGGGTCGGTGTAAGACTGGTGACTAGAGAATCAATGATATTTGGGTTTGGAAGCAATTTGAGGTTAGTAAGTAGATAGTTTAAGTGACATGATAAAGATGATAATCATAAATAAAATAATTAAAATTGAGTATTGAAAAAACCTGGTTGCGATGGAAGGTTGAAGACCGGGTTGCTGATAGGAAGAGATGGTGGATTGATGAAGTTTAACTGAGGGATCTGAAAAAATTTTAGTGGAATTTTAATGGTTTTTGAAATGCCGGATATCTTACCAGGTTTGGTGCATATAAAGAAGCAGAAGGAATCACTGGAACAGGCGGAATTTGGATCGGTTGATCTAAAAAATTTTGCCAAAATTTGTTGAAACTCTTAACAATAATTTACTCATGACGAAAGGTGTCTGGTTAGCCATAGATAACAAACGATTCAAGAAAGATTGATGTTGAAGGTTGAGACTTGAATTGGGCAACGATGCAGTTTTTGTTAGGTCGAGCAAAACATTGGGGACCATTTGAATATCATTTTGTACTGTACCGACCGGTTCCACAAGTTTGGAATAAACATTGGACCAGAATTCAAGTCTCTGGATTGATTCATCGGAATAGTGTTATTGAACAATGGTCCCAAAGCCGAAAAATTTGGCACTGAAAAATGTATGCAAGTTGAAAACAGAACCAATGAAATTTTCTTACCTCCGTTGAGGTTAGCGAAGTTCTGTCCAACGTCCAATTGTTGAAAGCCCATAGGTTCACTCTGAAATAAAGTCTGATTTTGAAAAATGATTTGAATACAACTATCACCGTATGAAGAGTATTGGGATTCTGAATAAATTCTAGAGCATCTGTTTCTGAACTTTGAATTCCGTTAACATTTGAAAAGAGACATTCTTTCTGCGTAGTTTCGATGCTCCTCATGTTATTTTGACTTGACTGATTTACAATTAGTGATTCCAGAGTAATTGGATCCAGAAAGAGTGTGAATAATTTCACATCATAAGAAATCAGGGAAGTCAGTTCTGTAATTCACTGTTAGGGTGCAAGAACTCGTGATTCAATCCTAATTTACCTGGAATTTGGACAACATTTTGAAATTGAGATTCAGGAAGGGACTTCTGTTCTGATTGTTCTTCTTGAAGAAGCTGTGGGATGGAAATTTCGATCTAAACTTTTTGTTTTCGGGAGTAGATTAATGATATCTAACCTCTTGAGGAGGATCTCGTTTCGGCTGATTGACTTCGGGAAGGTCAAAAATCGGGTTTTCGATTTCTGGAGCATCTGTGAAGGATCTCTGATAAACATGATCAAAAGGCGGAGCCGTTGCTGATCTCTTCACTAGGATAGATGTAACTTTAGAATCTGAAAATCACAATTAGAATTCGTCCAATTTCAATCGGATTACCTGAACAAACATTTTCGCAACCAGCAGGAATTTGAGAATTTCCATTATTTTCTTCGTTCTGAATGGTTGTGCAACAGTCTTCAAAGCTAGTTTCAGTCAAATCTTCCACAACTTCTCCATTGCTCATTTCTTCATTTTCCAGTTCTTCTCGAATTTCCATGTCAATTTCTTGTTTAGTAAATGTCTGAAATTAAGACCCATCTTTAAAAAAAAAATAGAAGATTACGAAGTGCTACCTGCCCTAATCCTTCTGAATCCAGTTCTCCTTCATCTTCCTCACAAGTTGAGATCTGTAGCAACAAATCTCAAAATTAGAAACATATTTTAAAACAACTCACTTTCCTGGCTTCTTCTCTATTAGATTCATTTGTTTCTTCACTATCAACTTCTCCTTTTAATAAACTTTTCATGTAGATCGATCTTATTTTTTTCACCTCTTCCGCATTTTCCAATTTTTCCAGCTTTTCCAAAAGACTGACTCCAGTTTCGCTATGAGTATTAATCTTATTCATATCTACACCATATTTGATGGCGTATTTAAACATATACACTACATATCGTCTTCGATCTTTGCTAATCAGTTTCTTCCTCTTGGGCGTATCAAAGCACATGTGAAGGATATCATGAATTATTAGGTTCCTAGTTTTGCCGGACGGCTCTTTCACGTCTGCTCCTTTACTGGAAAAAGAAGTGTTTTTTAATCTAGAATTTTTTGTTTTTCACTTACCGCAAAAGTTTTTTCAACATTTTATACTGGAGATGGACGATGGCCACACTGGCGACAGTGTTCTTCGCATAGTCCTTAGAATTTGGGTTTCCTTCTGAAAGGTTGGAATTGTTTAAAAAATTCCAATATACATTTCAGACCTTTTAAAAGCTTTTTGAATATGGTAAACTTTTGTTTATGGTTTATGGTGAGGTCTCCTCGGTCGAACATAATACTCCTCATGAGTTCACTTTCCCCCTTTGCATTCTTCACTTCTAGGATGTACACTTTCTTTGGTTGTTCATACTGAAAAAAAGTATTTATAAAGATATAGTCAAAAATAATTGATACCGTAAAGCCTGTAATAGTCACTATTAAATTATCTTCAAATAAACGAATACATATAAAATAGAAGGGCCCTCTAACTTTCAACTTTGATTCAATTTATCTTGGTTCCTGTTAAAGATACGAAAAAGTTGTCAACAAATGAATTGTTTATCATGATATCTTTAACATTTTATCAACTGACCTATTTTTGATATCTCCTATAAGAGCTGAGATAATTGATTCCAAACTTGAGTCAATTGACAGTGTGAGGGCCATTCTATTAGAGTTTTAAGGTAGCTTATAATTTTCAAGTAGACATTAACTAACCTTCTCTTCCAACTCTCTGGTTTTTGATCTTGTATTCATCCAACTGAAAACATTTATATTTGAAGTTTAATTATTCAAGAAAAATAACACATCAATTAGGAGCACATTAGGATACATTAGGAGACAATTAGGGGACACAGGGAACAAAAAATAACTTCACCAATCAGAATTTGAAAAAATATGACATTAAGTAACAAAAACACATTTGTGGTCAATCTTTTCGAACTGCATCTATTCGGTATACAAAGACAAACCTACGTGCAAGACCATACCAAACAGTGGTTGACCTCTCTCGGAATTTCTTTTTTTTTTCTAATTTGAAAGTAAAAAGATAACCTTTAGGTAAGATGCGCCAAGTTATCTTAATTGAACTACTGATACTAAACTGAAGAAAAAAATTATTGAAAAAAAGAGAATATGCGACGTTTTTCGGGGTCAATAACTTATAGAATTGGCGATTTTCTTAGAACTGTGGAAGAGAAAGAGCTGTGGAAGAGAAACATCGGTGGCCGTGGACAAAGATCTCGTAACGGCAACTACCGTAACCTAAAAATATTTTAATTTTCAGGATTGATTTTCTTGTTTTTCACTGCTTTTCGTCGAGTTTTCTGTTATTAAAACTTTACTTTAAACTCACGAAGAACATAAATCAAGAAAACAAATCCGGAAAAGAAATTTATAGATTACGGTAGTTTTCGTTTGGCCACGGCTACCGGTGTTTCTCTTCCATAGCTCCGATTTTTGTACAAAAACAATAAACGTGATTGGGAATTTAGAAAGAAGTGACAAAAAAAATGGGAACCGAGTACGAGAATCAACAAACGAGCCAATTCAAAATGTAAACATTTCCGGAAATCTCGGCTGTCGGCGCCAATACTTGACCAGACCTCCCACAAGTCTAGCACAAGTCTCCGAGCACATTATTCTATATATTAGCTAAGACTTGTGGGAGGCTTGTGCAAGACTTGTGGAAGGCTTGGCCAACACTTGTAAAATCATGAAATTTGGCCAAGTATTGGCACCCGCAGCCGAGATGCTTCTGAACTCCAATTTTATATTGATTGATGACGAAACATATAAACAAATATGAAAATGAGTTTGTATCAGAATATGATGCGATACCGAGAATCACAGAGTGATGAGAAATATGACCTATAGTTTCCATTTCTTCTATTAGATAATGTCCTACACCCTGCCTTTTCTCCTATTTTCTGTTATTTTGAAAAAAAGAGTGTGAGAGAGTAAGAGACGAAGACAGAAAAAAAAGAAGAGGATAAGGCTAATTTATGCACAAACTGAAAAGAAGTTGTGAAACCAAATGAGGCATGGAAGAAACGGAAAAAAGAGCAGGCGATTCGAACAAGATGACCTACACTAATGCAATTAGAAGTGCCTTTTTTATTAAGGAGATGGATGGAAGATGTTTGAAAGAAAACATCGAAGAAAGGAAAGAATATCCATTGTTGATGATTAAAAAGTATCCAGATAGAAAGAAATTTATGTGTTAGCTGACGTCTTCTAGCGTGTGGAGGGAAACATGAAACTCAACATCCGGTGTCAACGTCTCCTCAATTTTTTCAAGTTTCGGCGCTTAAGTAAAGAGAATCAAAGAATAAAACCTAGAAGCAAAAATTTAAAAAAAATTATCCATCGTTGGGAGTTTACCAGTCTATCTCCTCTAGTTATTACTGCTAGCTGTTATTGTATTCCCATTAAAATACGAATGGGAAAATAGTAATGCGCCAACAAGATATTTGACTCTAAATTAGAATATGATTTTTGGAGGAGTCCAATTTCTCAGAAAAAGAGGTTTATTGGAAATTAATATTTTCTAACAAGACAGGGGTATTCATATTGTGGATTCCAAAATTTTGGAGAGTGAAAGTATATCAATTTTTGAAAATTTGTTTGAATATTTAGAATACCTTGATTGAATAATTTTCAAAATATAGAACATGGATAAGGCTTCAAAATTAGTTGATGAAATTCTATGGTAACCAAAAATTACACTTTATTTTCTTTTTGATTGTTAACTTTTTTCAGACGAGTCCAACAAGTTATAAACATTTCAGACACATACAATTGAACTATTACGAAAATTTTGAGGAATCTGCCAACCTCTTGAGCGGTACTGTTTGATTTAAGGACATTTATTCCCCGAGAAAGATTGAAATTTTAGTAACTAGTTTTGTAACTTGGGTTTTGGTAGTCTACGTTGATCATTATCTTTTGAGGAAATCTGAAAAGATTCGGCCTCAGATAAAAAGTTTTACCCGATAGTAAATGCAACTAACCAATCTATTCACATCTCTCAAAATATATTGAAATGACATTTATAGATGAAGGAAAACAATATTCCCGCTATCAGAAATCGGGTAAAAAATGTAGTAGTCAATGATTCATTCTCCTGGAATTTCAGCTGCCGTAAAAAAGAATCTACAAAGAAACCAAGAATCAGTTGGGGGATTTTCGAAAATTCTCAAAAACTATCAAACTTGAAAAATGAAAAAAAAAAAAAAACAAAGTAATTTGTAGAACCCAGAAGTGTCCCGACACGGAATTCGAACACATCAAAGTTTCATGAAATACGGAAAACGGAAAACGGAATGAAAAAAGTACGGAATCCTGAATCCGTACATCTCTGATGGAACCAAAAACTTCCAATCTACAAAAATGATCAATGAACCAAACATTTCAACATTGTATAGTTGTTTCAAAATTTATTCAAATCCAAGTAGTCAAAAATAAAGCATATAAAATATTTATTAATATTGCAATGGAAGTGTTTCAAGTAATTAAGGCTCATAAGAAGTATAAAGGCATGGGAGAAGAAATCAACGGGAGACCCGATGCATAAGGCTTTTGATCAAACGACGTATTAGGAAAGCAAAAAGAGAAAAAAACAATAAAAGGTCATGAAATATACAGTCCCTAGTCATGAGAAATGAGAGAACTTTAACATTGAATATAATAATAATACCTAGGTAATACTTTTTGAAGAAGAACAAATCAATCAATACAATCTCGATGTTGTTCTAGAATCCGTTTTTCGAATTGAATCTTATGTGTAGTCGGCGGAGGCGTTTCTCTAGATTCTGATGGATCTTCTGATGGGCATAGTTCTCTGGTTACTGTAGTTCTGCTTCGATCCTTTTTCCATTCAGCGCCAGATTGACGTTCGGTGTTTATTTGAGCGAAACAGTCAGCCATGTATTCAGCCTGAAAATCATCATAAGCTTCAATCTGGATGTACTATTCGGGAAACTAACGAATCCAGTTTCCAATTTCACATATTTCGTATTTTTTCTGTTTGCTTCTCTGTCAGTTTCCTCTTCATTCCCATTTCTTTCTCTCAAATAATCAAATGAAAATGCAGTTCCATCATCACAAACTCTGAAGTCTTGAATACGATCCCATTCGATTTCCATTGAGTTTCCCTATAAAAAAAACAACTTATTAAAATTTGAAATTTTCTCCAGAATCTCTCACGTCTTCGGGACATTTCAAAAACAAATTTGCATATCTAACAACCATGATGACTGTCTGTTTCCGTTTTCTCAAAATACAGACACTCGGTGGAAATGTGACCTGATTATATCCTTCGAGATTTCTCGCCATTTCCAAGAATTCGTCCATATTTTCTTCGTTTTGGATAGCTGCCAACTGATAACTCTTTCTCGTTGTAACAACTCTTCCACTGTGCAAATCACCGATTGCTTGGAAGAAACAAATTTGTCTGAATGTCATATCCCGTCGACAGAGAGCTCGTTCTCTATCAATATCAAATATGAATTTTCGGAAAAGAAGACAAGACGAGGAAGCAGATGAGTAGTTGTGGGTGTAGAGTTCGTGTACGCTTTCACTCTCGTTTACTTTTCGCTCTGAAATTATTTTTTGAGATTCCGGAAAAACATGATTTGACTAACCAAAAGAGTTATCTAAAAGTTCAAAAATGGAACATGCAGCAGCTCCTTCCCTACTTAATTGCAATCTTTTTTGAGCGGTAGTGAAGAAGAGAGAAGCCGAAATACTTCTTCTGATGCGAACTGACATTGCTGTTCCGTTTGGAAGCATCAAACGAATATCCACTTCACACATTGGATCACACTCCATCAAAAATTTCTGAACCAAATCGGATTCCGCAATGACTCGAACCGTACAAATCTTCTCCAAATACTGCTCAAGTCCTCTTCTTCTCTGGTCCAACTCCTGTTCGTTCAGACGGAAAATTCGTTTTCCAGGAAGACGAGGAAACGAATAGTCATAAAAGTGTCTCTTGAGTGCCGAATGAAGTTCAACAAACTCAGAGTATCTACGAGAACCAAGTTGACGACCTGCCATATGAATATTGAACACCTGGAAGATGAAGGGGTTGAATGGAATGATTTTGTTGAATGATTATCTTACCGTATATCTTTCCAATGCATCATTGACGTTACTATAAGATGGAATTGTAACTGGAAGTGACCTATTTTCCGTATAATCATGTCCATATGCCATTGAACTCTCTTCACCGTAATCGAATCTATCCATGTCTGGATCTTCTACAGAAACCACAATCATTGTCAGTTCATTTCCACCGTTTTTTATCAGATCCACAACATTCCTGTGTGCTGCTCCTTCCACGTTTAATCCATTCACTTCTAGAATCCGATCCCCTTTTCGAAGTCCCGCCGTGTCTGCTGCTCCTCGATTTAACACAGCACTGACATGTTGTAGTGGAGCATACAACTCGCCGTTTAGACTTCTTAATTGTCCTCCTTCACTCACTTGTCCTTTGACATTGAAACCGAATCCAGTGTCTGATTTCACTATTTTAACGACGTGTGGCCTGGGATTGAAGAGGATTGGAGGCGTCGATGAGGATGATGCAGTGTCTGAACGAGAGGCTGAAAAAAAAGAAATGTGAAAGAATGAAATGACGTTATTGGGCTCTAGAGACTATGGATTCAAAGAGGTCTGGCTAGAATAGCCGAAAACATCATTATGTGAAAAATCGGAGCTGTGGAAGAGAAACTCCGGTGGCCGTGACCGAAGGTCCCACAACGAAAACTACCGTAACCTAAAAA